ATGTTTTTAGGCTTATAAACCTCAGTGGAGTTCCTGTAATAGGTTTATGAAATGTTTAAGTCAAAAGGCAAAGGCAAATTTAACGCTTAATAATTTATGAATATTCAGTCTTGTAAATGAAGGCATCCATCAAGTGTTATTATAAATAATTCATATAATGGACAAGTCCTATGCAGTGAATGGCTGTGTAACCCGAGATATGAAAGTGCATGGAAAACATGTTGTTTATTTATCCTTGAAATCTGTTTTAATGTATAGTGCAATAGAAATAATAACCATTCTTAAAAATTATGCAATTTTTTATTTTTTAAATAAATCATTTTATATGGCAGACATCTCGGGATACACATCCATTTACTGCATGGGACATGTCTACTATATGCCATTATTTATAATGACACTTGATGGATTTAGTTATAATACAGAGTATTCGTATTAAGCGTTAAATTTGCCTTTACTTTCTTTGAATTTAACATTTCAGAAACATATTAATAGATCTTGCTACCTTTTTTATATAATAATAATAATAATAATAATAATAATAATAATAATAATAATAATAGAAATAATATCTTTATTTAAAGAAGGTTATACATTAATAACATACAATAACAATCATATATATCTTATTTCAAATGTGGCCTTCTGAAATAGAAAACAACAACAACAACAACAACAACAACAGCAACAGGACATGCATAGGAAGAAAAATGAATGTATAATATGTAATTTTTAGAATATTACAACTCAAATACTTTCTACAGACAATTTGTTTTAACATATACGTATATTGCATCATTCGTTCGTTTGTTCATTCGTTCGTTCATTTATTCATTCAATCACTCACTCACTCACTCACTCACTCACTCATTCATTCATTCATATGAACAATATCAATATTGAAATACAGTGCGGTAAATGGAGATATAGGCCTCTCAGCTAAGATACAACAAATGATAGAAAGTAGTGATAAAAATAATATAATTAGAAAGTATCATGAATAAAGTAATATTTTAAATGAACAAAAAAGTTTTACTTTTTCCTAGTTACTGTAGGACAAAAGCTCTGAAAATTGTTTCTTTGAACAGCTTTCAGCGTTATTCATCCTTGCCGATGAATTGCTGTCGATGTTATCATTTAAAAGAGGCGAACAGCTGATGACGTTACTAAATTTTGATGACACTCAAACTTAAAATACCTTATAACTTTAACAGAAAAGCTTTTTTGAAGGTATGGTTTGGAATATTTAATGACAAAATGTTGACGTTTTCGAATCGTATGAAAAAGGATTAATTATCATGAGAAAATATAAGTTTTTGTGACTTCAAACTAAAAATACCGCATCTCATCGGATAGTGTGGTTATTTTCAGTCAAAATTCATGTGAAGTAAAGCTTTCACAGGGCCAGAAATTTGTTAGCATGCTTCTTTGGATGTTGACTATGAATCCATAACATTGATTTACTCAAACACAGTTTGGATATGTTAAAAATAGATGAATACTTATCGTACGTCAATTGTATTCCCCGCGCCGACATGTATATACTGTTACAGCTGTGGACGCTGGAACAGCTGTCTGCCCATTTGATTGTACGGTGTGAAAACTACTTAAAGTCATTGTTCGAGTTAGGGAATTTGGAAGATGTTTCGATTGGTCAATAATAAGGAACAATTTAAAGAAGCATGTGAATGCCCTTGTGTCAATGTTAATATAGTTTGTATCTACTATATAATCAAATTTTTTTCAAATCTCAAAAAAGAACAATAATGAATGATGTTTGTTGCTATTTTTCTCTTCTTTTCCTTTACTGTTAGTCATGCCAAGATAAAAAAAGTCCTAAGGCTATGTAAAAAGAAAAGAAGTATATCGAGGAGAAACAAATGATGAAGATAAACACAACTGAACTTCAATTTAGCATATTGTGTTTTATATCTATTTGAAAGACCCTGTGTTAGGATATATCTGCACGCATGCACAATTTGTATATATATTTCTTATTAGATGAACGGGTATAATTGCATTAATATTGCTAATTATTTTTAAAAAAAAAAAATGATAAGTTATTCCTCGCTAAAAATATGCATGCCACATTATTGACACAAAAAATTGCAACCAAAAATGCTTGAAGTATAAGTCTGCAACCAAAATGTGCTTGAACAATATATTTTTGTGTATTGAACAATATCTCCGGACTTGCGAACTAAACCATTTGTACTGCATTGACAGAAACATATTTTGTTATTGTTAAATGCAGTTCAAAACTTACAAATTCGAATAAATTAGGAGAAAAACCGACCAGAACAGTCACATGTCAAATTTCAAAATATCTACATGATCAGTTTATATCTTCAATAACTTCGTCAAAACAGAATCTAGGATGCTGAACCCTTAAACCGAGTGTGGCATATATATTGCATTATGGAATAGACATACTAATGAACTTCAAAATAACAAAGAAACCCACTTGCCTGGCAAAAATTCGTTCACCCGTTTCAAAAAATCACGTCGTGTTTGCCATTTTGTCAAGTTTGCAACCAATTCGCTCGCTTGAACCAAGTGTGCAACCACTTCACGTCCTGCCCCTTGTTATTTGAATGGCTTTAATTCCGGTACCTAGAAGAAAACAAAATACAAGTTTCATATAAGGAAACATTGTACATACGATCCCTGGTGTAATACACCTTAATAAATACATGTTAGCCATCTTTACAATAGGAAGAGATTTTTTTTACATATTTTTATAAATCTTAATATCATGGTCATATAACACAGACTTGTGGATTGGGTATTGTATAAGATTGCATATAACAGTCAAAGGTTTGCTGTATGTTAGTAATACATCGTTGAAGCAGTTATCACGAATCTTTGGTCTGGTCCATTTAGTAAACAAATCAACTTATATTGCTATTTAAACTCTTAATTAAATTTTATACATTTATAAAACTAATGAAAGCAAAATAATTGTATTTTTTTAGTACAGGGTCTTTATGTACATGAAAAGTGCCGTACATGTTTTGATATGCTGCACAAATCGAAAAGATTGATACTTCCTGCTGATATATTTTATCGATGTTATTACTATAAATTATGTAACTATAATTTAACTTTATGTGACTATATACTGCAACGTAGACATATGATTCTAGGTCAGACATTAACCGGTGAATATTATACAAGATGCAATTCTGATGATTGATGAATGCAAACAGAGTGCATGTGGAGAAATCAATATAGTAAGGATGTATTTATGTTATTTGTGTTAACAAATGCTATTTTCTGTCACAGCTGCAACAGAAAATCAAAGCACAGAAGGTGCTGAATTTGTTTGGGTCTCAGAATGTCAGAAAGGTGAAGGTTGTGAGATTATAAATCAATTTGTTTTTGTATAGTGCCACCAATGCTTTCCAGCGTTTTAATTGTAGTAAATTGGCTATAAGACTAATTGCAACACTGATATTCAATTCAATGTGTATTTTACTTAAAAAATTTGAAAATAAAGTTGCCTTAACTAGGATTTGAACTCCAAACCCCTCGACGACAGTAAAGTTATATATTAACGGCCTGAAGAAAACCATATTATTCTAAATTAGGATTTGTAACCCTTATTATTTCGACGCAAACTGTTGTTTAACACAGATGTAAATAATCATGGAGTTTACTATAAGCATGTATATCTATAAAATATGATAAACAAGATCAACAAGGAATGGCGGCGTTCAAAAACGCAACCCCCATATGACCCAGCAACAAGAACCAATAGAATAGAACAATATTAGAAGTCTTCGACCATTCGGGAACCGTTTTGCTTGAAAGTTAATGCGCCTGTCATTTGACCATCTTTACGCAGTGATCTCCCCTGAATTTAGTGTACATATAAAGGGAAGTAACCGCTTCAAAAAAGCGGACTACTTTCGGCATTTGCAATTAACAGCATCAGAGTCTGAAATTTCGCTACCATTATTTGTTTGGTCTGACAACCCAAACAAATAAAACCGGATATGTAGTCATATATTGTAGCGACGTTTAAGTGGAAATAAAACTTTCTTTTTTCTGTCAGTCACAAGCAACTGCATAAAACCATAAACCGTTCTAAATATCATCCAGATTTTTCTCGCATCAACAAATCCAATATTCCCGCAAATGCCACATCACTAAGGACCTCGTATTTTGAACAGGTACAAGGTAAATATTATAGAAAATAATATAACATGGAAAATATGAGACATTTTTCACAATAGAAAAATAAATCAAAGAGAAGAACTTATTTGTATTTAGAATTTATTGTGTTTATCTAAATTTATATTAATTGAAAATGATCTTTAGAAACACAAACTCTAAAGCTTGAAAGTCGCCATATGACCTATACTGTGTTGGTGCGACTTAAAACCCAATACAGAATTTATTTTTTAAAAGTGACTTACCAGAAATATAGAGTCTGGTCAAACTGAGTGGAAGAGTAGGCTTGCCTTGTTTTATACCAAGAACAAAGGCGTATCATTTTTTTCGGTCTAGCATGTAAAATTGACATTATGCTCATGTTTTTGCAATGTGTGTTGAAATAGACATATATTCGAAGCGATTGAGCCTGATAATGGTGACTGATCAATAATAGATCATGATACATGTTATGGTTGAATATAAAAACTACATAAATTATAAAGAGACAGCCCACCTTCTTTTAGAAAAAAAAACACTAAACAATACCGATACATTCCGAATGATATTAATTGAAATATGTTGTGGGTCATGTAGATTATTGTTTATATTTGGATAATAAAAATTTGAAATTGAAAATAATTATACCAAGGTTAATGGTTTCTTTTTACGGTTATCAATGCACTTTGACGGTCTTAGTGTCACTTATGGTTAAACGATGTTTAAAAACAACAGCAAAGCAAAAGAATTATAGCTATATCTAAAATCATTATATGACAGTGAAAACAAAACATAACGGTTTTTTTTTACAAACAAATTTTGAAATCAATTGTTTAATCCTATTTCAAATTTTCAGACATCGATGGTTTACAAGCTTATGAAGGGAAAGCTAAAAATCACATCAAAGAGATCACCAAACGTGAAGGTAAACTGAGTAAAATATAAATTCACTTATAATAACACCTCCTTACATATTTATGCATATTTTATTCGCTTTCATGCGTGTTTTTTTTTAATTAAGCTTCCTATAACGTTTACAAATGTGAAAGATATATTAATTTCTCAATAAAAATCATTTGTGTCTGAAATGTTTCATTTGATATTCCTTTTTATATGAATTTGTTTGTTATCATTCCTTTAAGCTGGACGTATGGACCAGGAATTGAAAAAGGCGGACGATAGAGAAGAAGATTAAAAGTTCCAAGTGAACCTGTTTTTAAGATACTTCAATACTGCATTGACACAAACATGTAAAACACCAATATCAGTTTTCATGTCAACCAATTGACAAATAAAATATTAAACCGCTATTCTGCTCTATTTATTCTTAACAAAAATGAACTTTTTCTGAGCTTGTTTATTGATTTAATTTAAATATAGTCAGTATATATACAAATAGAAAAAAGATTTACATTTTGTATGTTGTAAAAATCGGGACTGATAGAAGAAAATCATGTTTTTATCAATGAAGATTCTATATGCGACAATAGACTGCAACGAAAGCATATGAGGTTAGGTATAAAGAAGGTATGAAGTCATTTTACTAGTTAATATGCAGTTTTGATGAATGCAGATGACAAATTTAAAAATCAATAGAGAAAGAAGAACGATTTGTGGTGAATGCAATTTTCTGCTGACAGATGCTACAACAAAACTTGTATTTACACATTGTAGTTAATTTCAAAAATAGAAGTAAAACAATAGGTTCAATTCATTGCATGTAACTGGGTAGACCGACACACTTTCCTTAAGCTTTAACTAAACAGTTTCCTCAGATAAAAATCTAAAAATCCTAGGATATAAGACCGTATCGCCAAAAGTCTAGTGTTTCGAATTTATTGGCTATAACCAATCGGTCATCGGTCCTTTAAAGCGATTAAGCCAGAGCGCATTATCCCATTTTTGGTTGGTGGTCCACTGGGCGCCAAAGAAATGCCCCTGGATGGCTTTTCCAGCTTTTATACACAGCAGGCGTGGAGCTGTAAAAAGTTGCAGAGTACTTCACTTCATCGTTATTATATATTTTTGCTCCTTCGGAATTATTGATTTAAACACGTAGGTGTTAAAATTAAGCCGGTGCTAGGGGCGTGAGAGATGTTGCACTTTTACATAATCTTTCATGAAAAGATGTAAACCGAGCCTGCAATTTTCATATAATATTATTGTTTTCATTGCATCCAAGTGATCACCACGTTTCCAAATTTTGGTATTTTAGAAGCTGCGTTCAAAGAATGTCGTTTTCCCTCATAGATCTTTCTTACATATTTTAAAAATTACTATGAAATCATTCTGATTAAAATCAGCTCAAAATAACAAAGGTAGTTTTGAAATTGACTACAACATGATCCAGAGTATTAGTTTTTCTTGTAAACAAATGAACAATTGTTACTTTGTAATAAATGTCTACAAATATTATGAATCTTTCTGTAAAAAACATGTTAAAGGATAACATGGTTAAGGCAACCTTCATAGTGGTGTCCTAGTAAGGAATTATTCGTCATCGACAATACGCACATATAGTCTCCGTCCTAGCAAGTAACGACGAGTGATGCCTAGTAATAGGTGTCTGATTCACCCCGAAATTCGTGGGTTTGGTGTATACTCATGTCACAACTATTATTCCCCATATGACACCAGAACTGGTTAGCTCCAGGAAACGGATTGTAGAGCGTTTCTAATAATTTAAAGGATTTCACAATGAAAATAATTCTGAAACTGACTATCGAATCATGAACATTTCTTTGACATCGAGTATTCCTCACTGAATATTATTGTTCCGCTACAAAATAGTGAAAGACAGAATCCCTAAAGAAAGCCCAACACGGCAAATTTGTAAAATGTTGCAGACTCGGTTTGATTGAGCCTATTTTCAGTTATCTGTTCATGGCAGTAAAGGCTTTAATGTGTGGACTCAGGGTCAAGCATACCGATACTTCTTTATTTCAAATTATTTTGTTTTTCAGGATATATACATAGATTTTAACTATTCTATCCATCTTCTTTTTAAGCATCAATGCGATTACCGTTTTTAGTTTACTTGAGCTAGCTCAGCGTGAGCTTTTAGGATCATTGAATGTCCATCGTCTGTTGTCTGTCGTCCGTCGTCCGTGTTAACACTCTAGCGGTCACATTTTTGCCTCAATCATCATCAAACTTTGTCAAGATACTTATCTAGGTAAAAGCTCGGATGATTTCGAACATGGGTCGTCTCGGAATAAAAACTAGGTCACAAAAGCTAAAAATAGAAAAACCTTGTTAACATTCTAGTGGCAACTGTTTTGTTCCAAATATCCTGGAAATTGGTCTGACAGTTTGTTTTGATGATTTCTAGGTCAAGTTTTAATATGGGTCACCTGGGGTCATAAACTAGGTCACACCGCCTAAATACGGAAAACCCTTGTTTACACTCTTGTGGTCACATTTTTTACTCAATTATCATCAAACTTCAGGATGCTTGTCTAGGTAATTGCTCGGATGAGTTCGAACATGGTCATCTTGGATGAAAAACTAGGTCACATGACCTAAAAATAGAAAAAATCTTGGTAACACTCTAGTGGCTACTGTTTTGATCCAAATATCCTGGAAATTGGTCTGAAAATTTGTTTTGATGATTTCTAGGTCAAGTTCGAATATGGGTTACCTGGGGTCAAAACCTAGGCCATACTGCTCAAATATGGATAATACTTGTTAACACCCTAGTGGTCACATTTTTGACTCCCTCTTGTTTTAAAAGGAGCACAATTGAACGATAATCTCTATCATTTCACATAGACAAATATAGAATAATATTTCAGTAAAATTGCAAAATGACATGAAAAAAAGTGTTCCCAAAAAGAATTTAAAATCAAATTATCTATTGATTTCTGCAGTTTTGAGTCTCTGCTCTTGAAAATGTCCTTAACCAAGTTCAAACCAACAGTCATGGGCAGATAACTAAAAAAGTATGGTGACCACCAGTCGTTACATAACTTTGTTTCAATTCTGATTCGCTTTAATCATGGAAAGTAAACTAGTTTCCAAGTTTAAATGTTCCTTCTTTGTCTAGTATGCCAAAAAATGAAGAAACTACATGTATATGAAATGTCTACAAGACTAAGTATCTTGAAATATCGGACTTTCCTACTCTCACTGAGTATCCGCTTTACTTATCATTTGTTTTCATACATTTCTATTCCATCAACTGTGATTTGTTTGGAATTTTGTCTGGCGAATAAAGCGTTTCAGTAGTTTCTTTACCTTGTCGTCTGCCTCTTTCATATGTAGGTCATAGACTGATTTTTTTTCTGGTGATCTGAAACAAAAATTATATTCATCGAATTATTGAGTGCTCAATTTCAAATAATCTGAGAATAATTAAAAATAATTACAGGTTGATGTTCAGACCATAAGCATTTTTCCGTATGATATCAGGTTATTGAGTACTTTTGTATTCCTCAAATGCAATATGCTAGTTTCATCTGAAATGAACCATTGAAAGAAGTGTTTAACAATGCACTATACTATTCGTATCAATCAATATTTCAGAGAACAACAATACAAAAATCTGTATGAAATGTTTATATTTCAAAGAAAGTTTTATCTGATTTTATTGTGTATAAACATAGCGTCTGACATTTCCTCCTATATCGTTCTGTAACCAATACAGAAAGAAAAACAATAAACTGGTGTAATAAACAATTATTTATTACCATAATATGATGATAAGCGAAGACAATAGACGACAAAGTAAACAAACTTTTCGTGCATAATTTACACATGTCATGTATATGACATTATGAAGTATTGTATAACATTATGAGCTATTATATTAAGGTTTTTGGAGTTATGTTTTCTTAATAGTTGTCAAAGACGTTGATTTCAAACCACTTGCCTCTCACCGCTGTTGGATCGAATCCCGATAGTGATTTTGGATTTTTTTTCATGTAACGAAGCCTTCCAGAAGGTGTGCCTGAAATAATCCACGGAGTCCTGGGCATGAACTTTCTAAAGTAAAAGTAAAATAAAGTTCTAAGATAGTTAAGTTTAGTGGATTTAAAATAATATTGGTAATTAGACAGTAGTAACATAAAAATAATAAACGAATTGAACAGCTAAAATAGGGGAGAGAAAACACTGCCGTAGTTATGTTAAGTGTTCTTTTTGTCTCCCTCACAATAGCATCTATAATTTAGCCGTTTACGCACGCATCGTTTATCCAAATCATCAATTTATGATATGCTTTTGAAGAAATGTATAGTTCGGAATTTTCAAATGTAAGCTTTCTCAAAGGAGAAATAAGTAAACAGTGAAGCAAAACTTTAATACTTTATGAATACTTAAATGCTAGTAAAAGTATATCAGTTGCAAAACGTGTAGAATCAGATATGCTCGAGTTTTTCTTGCATTGTAATATCATGCAGACATTAGTAATACAACATATTTTTGTCATATATTTTCTATACCATATTGTACTGCATTTTCAAATAAAATAAAAGACTCTTTTAGTTGTAGTAGGTGAATTGTTTTGAATGTGATCATGAGCGAGTATAGTATGTTTCCAATGGTTAAATATAAACCATATACTTCCAATTATCACCAGACCAGAAAATAAGCATCATTCGAAGCAAATTATCTCAAGCAACTTTCCCAGAATAATGTTTACATGTTAATGACCTAAAATCAGTATCTGTGCAATGTGTTGCCTTATAAAATCATTGCGTGCTGATGTCATGCTTGCTATCTGATGGCTTTGTACCTCGGAAATTGCTATGTTTAGTTAGAAAGTTAAACGCTAATTTTCGTGACTCTCTTTTTATTTGAAATGATCATTTTGAATTAAATATTTTAAAAAGACCAATATTTTGAAGAAGACTCGCGGTGACTTTATAAATCTAAAGTACAACATGACAATGACTTCTTAGATAACAATACACACATAACAGAGGGTGATGTGGATATCCTAACAATTCGCCTTTAGCTAGTTTTGATAATTCTTAACTTCATAAAAACCTATTCGATGGAGACATTTTTATCGTTATATGTGCATAGAATAAAAGGCAGCCAATATTTACCTTAGACGACAGATGCTGTACCAATCGAATATCACAGCGTGAATGTTTGTTCTACACTACAAATAATAGTTAATGTGAATTTATATAAACAAATTCTGATAGATATAGGTCAGAAAAAACACAAAATAAAGACGGTAATTACTATGCAAGACGCATTTGACAGGAATAATCGCTGATAATCGGCCAACACATGATTGTACGTATGAAGCTAACACTATTTTATATAAAAACATTACAAAATATGATCCATATAATAACCG